ATCTTAAAGAGAGTGATACCCAACATCTAACTTGCATTCGGTGTTCGAACTCAAATAATTCCTTCCCTCGGAGGAGTTCAATATATCAAATAAATAAGTAATGGATATATATGCCCATTTTATATATCTTACAGGTTAAGAGTACGCATCAATTACTGAAGGTCTAGGTTACAACAACGATCAGTAAATCTCATAATCTTATCCTTCCGCTGTCCGTTCAATACTTTTCATAAGTACTAGTGTAACCCATCAATCAAAGATCAACTGAATCAAGACTATACTATAGTCATTTCCAACAGGGGTCTCACGGCCTGTCTAAACTGTGAACAATTAATTCATATTTTAAAAGAAAACCGATAATATGATCTTTCTGTTCGACACGACAAACCATATTATCTACAATGTAAAATAATGGAGTTATGATTGCATAAATAAATTTTGACTAAAACACGATTGCAAGTTATGTAACCGAACCTTTGTCCTTGGTCCTTGGCAATTGGACTGTTGGATGGACTTCAGCGGCCTTGGTCGGTTTGGGCCGGTGTTGGACTTGGTGATTGTTTGTCTCATTTTTTTTACATTTTTCGTGCTCGTTTTGCTTTTTTTCCCCATTTTAGGTTGTTTCTTTTGTTTTTAGTCCGTTTCGTGTTTTATTATGTGTTTTCGTTCATTTTGAGTCTTTAGGTGTTTTTTGTTTGTTTTTCTGTTCTTTTTTGTGTTTTGTCATTTTTGGTGTGTAGCTCTGGAGCTTCGGGAAAACTTTCTCTTGAGTAAAAAATGGTTCAAAGAGTATAATTGAATAGATGGGTTCGTTGGCGACGCGTAGGAAAAAACATCACTCAATTCCGAGTTCAAACGAGGCCAAAACGTAAAGAGGTGCAGTGCAGTCCAAGTCGCGACCCGCGACCAGCCCCACGCCCTGCTGCCCGCGCCCGACCTGTCCTACTCGCGACTCGCGAGTATCAACCGTTCAACCCCTGTTTTTTATTTTGCTCGTTTTAGCTCCGTTTTTCGAGCACCATATATCAAAACGATCCTTAGACTCGTGGGAATAACCCCCAATATTGTTTTTTTTTTTTTACTTTTTCCTATTCTAAAACTCTAATTTGATCATTGTTTTTCTCGCTTTTCTTTTTTGATTATTCCGGATTAAGTTGTTCATTGGATTCAACTCTTGGTTCTCTATTAATCGTAAGTTTTCCTTTTCAATTAATCCTTGAATATGAATGCTTGGGTTCTTGAGATGGATTGTGTCGAACTTCATATGACTAACTAATTCGTTTGTAGGGGTAGGGGATGATGATGATGTTTAGAATTTAATTGTGCTTATCATATGCTTGTTGATCGTTCAATTTATGCGAGTTGTTCTTAACTAGAGTTTATAAGTATCGTGCATTGAATGTTGAATATTTTCGAAGAGGGACACTTCGATTTGCAATTGATTTCCAATTGAATGCGATTCATTCTTGTGTGATATTTTTTAAATCTTACGACTAGTAGATTAACAATCGTCTAGGACAATTTAATTAACTCTTAGAACCGAAAGGGGAGGAGTTGATCGATCTAGACTCGCATGAAATAGATTTGTTCGAAATTATTGTCTATGTATGTGTTGCGTGATTTGTTTGATTTACTGTTTATGTTATCCTCTTGTTACGAAGAGTTATTAAGGACTAATTTCTAGACGTTAGGTTGTTCAATTCACTTAACCGAGTGATCTTAGCTTGATATTTGCATTGGTTAGAAAATCATCATCCCCGACTCCTTAGCTTCTTATCATTGTTTGATCTTTGTCCTTGTTTTTAAATTCAATTTTGCATTGTTTGTATTTTTTTCTTACTTGATAATTAATTCCAATTATCTTGATTAGAATATTTTGGATTTATTTTTCATTTATGTGTTATCAACACCACTTCTAAATTTCGAACCGTCTTCCTCGAGAGATCGACCCGGGGAATGAATCTTGATTCGGTACTCGGTAAAAAGAAAATAATTTGCTACAACAGTGATAGGCTTGGGTCTTCGGCCCGCTCTCTATGAACTTTTTGTTGTAAAATACTTGCAAAACTGAGGCCTAAGTTAAAATTTAAACTGAATTGAGTTTGGACTTGGATTTTGATCCAACCCGTGAGGCCTCTCCATTTACATTGAACTTGGACGTGTGGACTCCACCTGACTGTTTCAGGTGGAGTAGTGGTGTCTACAACCTGAAAACAGGCTTAACAGCTGGCCGTTTTTTTCTCATTTACAACCAAGTTACAATAGCCTTCAGCAGGTTGTTACTGGCGGAAGACCAGAGGTCATCCCCTACTGGCTGAAAATCCTATAAATAGAACATGGTTTAGAGCTGCAGAAACATTGACAATATTATCTAATCATCTGCATCCTCACATTCTCCCATAGCCTCATGCATACACATACTGCTTAATTCTCGATTCCGATCAAGTTCGCCGAAGGTCGAAAATCTGGTATGCTACAACCTTAGAGGTCAGCAGTTGTATCTTTTAGGAAAGGACACTTGAACTTGTCAGTATATTATACAAGGCGTATTCGTCTTGCGGAAAGAACAACACTCGCCTCGTCTATTGTCTTTTCGCTTTGAGCTTGTAATTTTGATTTCTGTATTAGTTCAATTTGTAGGAACTGAACCATACACTTCAGTTTGTAAAATACTCGTGTAATCGAATCACTTCATTTGTAACAAGGAGGATGCCAACGAATATTTTAGTAAAATCTTTACAAGATATATCCAATGCCGTTAATATGATCCACGATATAGTTATTGGTTTCAAGGACTTGTATGTTGGAATAGCTGTTGAAAGCTATTGAATATTCATAAGACTTTGAACAACTTTTCATTATAATTGGAATCTTATGTATATGTTAAGGAAACAAGATATTCTCCGCATATATAAGTTGGTTAGTATTGTATAATATCTGAACAAATACATAATTATACATAGTACATATATACAACTCAACATATATGTTTGACCAGAAAATTCAAACTACTTGACCAACATGCCTTCAGTATAAAAATAAATGATGATTAATTGGCCAATTAAAAAATTAAACAAAAAAAAAAAAGAAGAAAAAACACATATTTTTGGTTTTAGGGTGACATCCCCATGACGAAATGACGAGTCATCTTTTATTAATTTTACTGTCCGATTAATAGAGTAGCTATTAAAGAGGATTTTTTTTTTTTTTTTTTTT